ATAAGAATGAGATGTATTGAATTGAAATCATAAAATTTACAAATAGAGTGAGTAAGGAAACAAAAATAGTTACTTACCGTATAATTCAAAATAGGTTAATGATATGTTGATAATTTTTATATTTTATTTTTATAATATAATTTTTATAAATCATTAAATAAGTTGATGTATATAAAATATCATAAATATTAATATAAAGAAAAGAAATAATTGTTAAATAAAATGCAATGATTTATAAGAAATTGTAAAAAAAATTTCTCTTAATCACTTTCCTTCAAAATAAAACCGGTTTTGAGATATTTACTATTATCAAGCCTCGACAACATTTAAGGAAGTTTTCTTTATTACTAACATGGAGGATAAAAGAAATTGGGGAAAACAGGAGGAAAGGCAAGGAGGGAGTCGTGGCAACGGATTAAGAAGCCATTCCCCACACTTAAACTGCCAAGTGTCAATTCTCTCTCATTCCATTCTTTCTACCATCCATGTTAACACGTGGTCCTCTCTTACATGTCTAAGGTAGACCACATTTCCTTCCTCCTCTCTACAAATACCCTTCCCCTCTCTCCCTCCCTTTCAAAACACACACTCCCCTCTTCCCTCCAAAGCCTTCTCCTTTCCCTTCCAACACCAAGCATTCAATCAAAGATAATTAGCTCTTTCAAGACCAATAAGCACTACTTGCTCCAGACTAGTGTCACTTGTTATTTGCCAAATTAGACCCAACCATGGCTTTTTCAGCAACTTCGAGCAATTGGGTTAAGCCTCAATTCAATATGCCAAGTGGAAAGCCCAACATTTCTTGCTCCCTCCAAACTCCCTCCATTCTTCGTCTCCCTAAACAATCCCCATCGTATCCACCCTCAACCACCGCCACTCCCACCGTAAAACCCCCACAAGATACACAACAATGGAATTTTCTACAAAGAGCTGCTGCTTTGGCCTTAGACACAATGGAGACTGCTTTAGTCACTAATGAAAGAAAGCATCCTTTACCTAAAACAACAGACCCAAGAGTCCAAATTACTGGGAATTTTGCTCCAGTACCGGAACAATCCGTCCGGCTAAGACTTCCAGTCACTGGGAAAATACCCGAATGCATCCAAGGTGTCTATGTACGAAATGGAGGCAACCCACTCCACGAACCGGTCTCCGGCCACCACTTATTTGATGGGGACGGGATGGTTCATGCGGTTCGGTTCGATAATGGTTCGGCTAGCTACGCCTGCCGGTTCACTGAGACTAACCGTTTTGTTCAGGAACGTATTCTGGGTCGCCCTGTTTTCCCCAAGGCAATCGGCGAGCTGCACGGCCACTCCGGCATAGCGAGACTCCTCCTCTTCTACGCTCGTGGGCTTTGTGGGCTTCTCGATCACAGTCAGGGTACTGGCGTCGCGAACGCCGGACTTGTGTACTTCAATGGTCGTCTTCTTGCTATGTCTGAAGATGATTTGCCTTACCATGTTCGTATCACTCCCTCCGGCGACCTAAAAACGGTGGGCAGATACGATTTTGACTGTCAGCTCAATTCCTCAATGATTGCTCACCCCAAAGTCGATCCTGTCTCAGGTGAATTCTTCGCTCTTAGTTACAACACCATCCAAAAACCATACCTGAAATACTTTCGGTTTTCCCCCGATGGGAAGAAGTCCCGTGACGTTGAAATTACGGTTGATCAACCCACAATGGTGCACGATTTCGCAATCACAGAGAAATTTGTGGTGATCCCCGACCAGCAGATGGTGTTCAAGCTACCAGAAATGGTCCGGGGCGGCTCTCCGGTTATTCATGACAAGAACAAGATGACAAGGTTTGGTATTTTGGACAAGAATGCCAGTGATGCTTCCTGTATCCGGTGGATAGAGGCACCTGATTGCTTCAGTTTCCATTTCTGGAATGCTTGGGAAGAGCCGGACACGGATGAAGTTGTGGTGCTCGGCTCCTGTATGACCCCGCCGGATTCCATTTTCAATGAATCCGGTAAAAGCTTCAAAATTGTGTTATCTGAAATCAGACTAAATCTGAAGACTGGAAAGTCCACTCGCCGTCCCATCATTGCGGAGTCCGAACAAGTAAACTTGGAAGCCGGTATGGTAAACCGGAACCTCCTCGGACGGAAAACCCAGTACGTCTACTTAGCCCTCGCCGAGCCATGGCCTAAAGTCTCCGGATTTGTCAAAGTTGATGTCTCAACAGGAGAGGCAAGGAAGTACATCTATGGAGAACAGAGGTTCGGTGGAGAACCCCTGTTTCTTCCTAGAAACCCCAATTCAGAGAAAGAAGACGATGGCTACATTTTAGCTTTTGTTCACGACGAGAAGGCATGGAAATCAGAGCTCCAAATAGTAAACTCCATGACTTTAGAGCTCGAGGCCACCGTTCAGCTTCCATCTCGAGTCCCATATGGATTTCATGGAACATTCATAACCTCAAAGGATTTAGAGAAGCAGGTCTAATACATAAAGTGATCATTGTTCATGTTTATCCATTGGTGGCAGATCAGGGGGAAGATTTTCCAGAGAGATGCTTGCATATATGATCCCGGAGCCTCCTCCTCTGTTCAAATGAAGAACCCTGTTTCCGGCTGCAATATTTTCGGATATTTTTTACGGGGAAAGGTTTGAGGGACCAGCTTGTAGCTTTTAGAAGCAGCCAGAATTGAAGTCAGCTGGTTTCTGCTTATTCCTTCACTTACGTGCATGAAAAAGTGCATAAGTACAAGATAATATGTAGGGTAACTCTCTGTTTTCCCCTGTATTTCTCTGTTTCAATCTGCCCTTTTTATGTAAATATTGTAATCTTCAGCATATATAAAGCTATGTTACAATCTATTTCCAAGATCCAATCTTCATTCTTCTTCAATTCTATGCTGTATTATACACAAAAGCAACAAAAAGAAATGAGAAAACTCATCACATTGGTTCTGGTGAGACGAATTGCGCCCAATAAACGCATAGAAAGGGATATACAATATGATTAAGAAAGTGCTGAGATTATTATTACATCAGTGTGAGGAATGGACAAGAAATCAATTTGCTTGCATATTTGATAGCTACTGGAATTTAGATGATCCTTACGCATTAGATAAATGGGTAAATGAGAATTCAACACGTACCGAGTGTTACATCAATTAGTATGTTTGAAGAAGAAGGAAAGTCTGTTAGTTTTTTATTCTGTTGCTAATTCCGGAAGTGACAACTTAGGAGAATTAGGATTGCTAGCGAACAATGACACAGATATTTCGATTGGGCTGTGAGGATGATTCGACTCAATTGTCCTGATATATCTCTCAAGAGCCAAAAAGGATAAGTCAACTTTGTTGAGCGGTGTTCTTTAGTGCAGGTTGGTGCTCATGACATAAACCCTACTGATGTTCTGAAAAGCAGTGGAAATCAGTTCAAATGTTGGGTATCATGTTACAGTGTCATTGATATTTCTGTTAATGCACAATTGTGGGACAAAACATACTGACGTAACCGCTGCAGCAGCAAGGAGTCCTTGGAGACTCTATATGTTTGAGATCAGTTTGCATTACAGATTGCGGTTTTATCCATTAAACTCAATTGATGGGAGTTCTTTAGACCGTATCAACAGTGTTTTTGTGTTAATTTGTTGAAGTTTGGCCACTACAAAGCCTGAAAATGCTGTGCCATGGCATGAAAAGATATGGGCATTCCTCTGCAAAGTGATGAGTTGGGATGATACTTCAGCATTGCAGGATGAAAGGAAATGTGTCTTTTCTACTCCATTCTGTGATTGTTGTTCTAGGTCTCTTGCGTTGTTAGTGGGTGCTCGGTGCTTAAATCATGGTCTAGTTTTGTTTTGATGTGTAGGAGGAACGTGCAATATGCACGATGAGGATTATCAAACTTAGCCACTCTATCTTATCTGCTACTTGCACTTGCACAATTCCATCACTCTCATGTGTCTCATCTTACTTGTGCAGCCAGCATTAGTCCTATGTATGACTTGCCTAATGAACTAGCCTATTCCTAGTAAACCATGCATTTCTTTACTTCTTCTATGCTGACGGTGCACCCTTCCCCCTTCTGATTTTTGAAGCTTGTCGGCATGACTATCGTCACCATTATTTTTCTTAGAGCCATTAAAATTATTAAATTCTGTATTTTAATTTAATTATAAAAATAGTTAATAACTAATAAAATAATTAATATTTATTATTTAATAAATTAAAATCAAACTATAAATTTATATTTTCAAATATTATAATTAATTATTTAAAAAAAAATTATACACCGACAAAATTACAAGTAAAAGCATTAGCCTTAAAAAAAGAGTGGTGAACTTAACAAAAAGGCTGGTGAAAATAACCTCAGCCAAACTTGTTTGTTTATTTTCTACTTGATTTTTTTTTATATATGTAAAAAATAAGGATTAAATACTAAATTTGTAAGTAAAAGTACAAATTACTCTATCCATATATCATATAACTTATGGTATAGTTTATATGACATATCATCTGTTAATCTGTCCATGATTCATGGGAGCATAAGAAATGCAAAATGGGCATTTTATATCGAATTCTGGGTCAAGTTCTTCAAGGAGTCTGATGACATGCCTAATAGACTCAAGTAAACCATTCGCATGGCTTGAGATTTACTCTAGTTAATTTTCAGATCATTTCTTTCTAGTTGTATCAGATCATATGTTGGACATGTTTTATGATTGTACGAACCAATACACATTTAATGGGAACCAAAACTTATCATAATCATGACATGTCCTCTTATCTCTGGACCAGCAATTGTTTACAAAAATGGATATCCATGTATTGGGTGCATGCGAGGCGAATCCTAACTGGCGGAAGCGGTCAATAATTCTGTGGCTGAACATCCTGACAAAAAGGGATAGCAATGGAATATCAACGAACAAAAGTGGAAAAAGGCTCCATTTGAATGTTGCCTAATTTTTTCTTTCTTCAAGTTGGATCATGTGCTCTAACCACACTTCAAACAAAGATAACGGTCATAAGAATTAGAAAGTTGAATGGTTAAGATTTGTGTAAGTAATATATGTAAGAATTTTGTATAAGTAAATCTTAAACCTTTGTATATATATGGAAAAATGTTTATTAGTTGAATTAATAAAAAAATTTGGTTAAAAAATATTTTAAAATTAAGTTATTTAAATAATTTTAATTGAAATATATTAAAATAATTTATTTTTAAAGCAAGAATGATTTTATTTTTTAATCTTTTTTGTGATGCTTTATTAAAAGAATGTAATTTTAAAATATTAAAAAATATAGTTTTAAAATATTGTAATTTAATTCTCCTTAATTTTTTGCAGGGCTATGGATAAACACTAATCTTTTTATCATATATGTTTAGGAAAAAATGTACATCAATCTTGATTTCCAAAATAAATTAGAGTTTTAAGTTTAAATGACGTCATTTAATTTAATTTAAATTTAATTTAAAATTTAAAATTTTATTTTATTAAATATTAATATTTAGATTTGAAAACTAATCATATAATCTGTTTTTAAATTTAGATATCAACATTTAATAAGATGAATTTTTGAATTTTAAATTAAAATTTTAATTTCTAAATGTAGATTAAGAATCTAATTTTTTAAAATATCAAAATTGATATGTATTATTTATATATATATATATATATAAAAGAAAAGATTTAATTACATATAAATTTTATATATTATTTTATATAAAATTATAATTATTTATCTTTCTATTTTTAATAGTTGATATTTATTTATTTTTTATTATATTTATTAAAAATAATTATTTTTTTCATTTAAAAAGTTATGATAAATCTTAATCATTAAAATTAGAGAGATAGATAATTAAAATTTTGTGTAAATATAATGTGTAAAATTTATGTATAAATAGATCATTGTTATTATTATTTATAATTCATAGTATAGCTAATAACTGATATATGGTCTTTGTACAATTGATAATATTTAAAAAAAATTAAAAAACCTAAAGCAAACACCCTTTCAATCTTTTCTTAAAATTTTCATTATTATTTTTTTTAAAAAAGCCATATGTTTCTAAAGATTAAAGCAAATAAATAGTCAAAACAATTTACATGTGAGGAAGAAGCATGTGAACCATGCATGTTGACAATATATAATCAAATAGACACTTACCACCCTTAAAAGTGAAATGTGATACTTATAGTCGGAGTAAGAATTTGGAACTATCTCTAGGATTGGTTCTACTTACATTATTCAAAACAAAATACATACAAATAAAACCTCTCATTGATGATCAATTAAACCCCCAAATTTAAAATATTATAAGAAGTGCAACCATCAATAAATTTTCTAGCAACGATTTGTTGGTTCGAGTGAAAAGAGTTCGGTTTCCCTTAAACAAGATCTTGAGTTCAAGTGTTGTGAATGGAAAGACAAACACTGGGAGAGCTTTCCCTCTAATGGGGTCCGACGCGGTTTGATTACGGATTAGTGAAAACCCAATGTGGTTACCGAATATCGAAAGGTTAATATAAAAAAAAAAACCATCAATAAATTTTCTTTCACTGATCAAAAAACCAAAATTAATAAACACGAAAATACAGTTATATAGACCACGCATACGTAAGATAATAATTTAAGCAAAGACGAAAAAAGAGGAGGGGAAGAAAACATTAGTTTGGGGTTAGTCCGGAAATGAGCTGGTAGGTGCAATACGACAAGGGTGGGATGGGTGGGGAATAGGGATTAATGCAGTCTAAGTGGCCTTTGATTGCCAATCCAAATTCCGTTTCTTTCCGCGTCAGCTCCTCCTCCTCCTAGTCTCGCCCTTCACCGTGGACCTCATTGTACATTCCAGATTGTCCACACCTCATCACGCATCGTTACAATTAACTGGGCACCATTCTATGTATTTCTCAGAACGTGTGTCTCAGCCATCATTGGGCATTTACCTTCAATTTTTCTTCATTTCACATGCAATTTTCATGCAAGCAACAAAATAAGCCTTCTTCCATTCTTTACACGTGGAAAACATGTATTCTGCGTCGACGGTCTAGGGTCATCCATTTGGACAAGGTGACTTACTTAAGTTTACGTAAAGAAAATTTTTTCTTCCTTTAAATGGCATTACTCCATGTGGAAATATTAGAAACGATGATTCCTAGTGGCGCTGTAATATTAATAGTAAGCAATGATTTGGATGAAAGTTCTCATTAGAAAAAATGGTAATCTCACAATCACTAAACATTATAATTTTATATAATTATGATGTATCATTACGTAATAATTAATTAATTTTATTTAAAATTTTATTTTATATATTATATTATAATGTGACATTACATTATTATTAAAAATTTATGATCTTATATAACATTATTATAAGTAATCATTTCCATGCATTCTCCATGTGAGTGAGACTCATGATGGTTTGAAGGAAAGTTGTGGGAAATAATGCGTAGGAAAGTTTTGACGTTTATTATAGTAAACAAATCGAATAATTACATAACTAGTTAATTGTTCGGAAAATGAAGTGTGCACACCCGCACACCCGGGTGTGCACACAACATATAAATAAAAAAAAATGCCTATCACTCGGTCCAACTTTTTTTTTATTTTATGTGGGGGTGCACACCCAGGTGTGGGATCCGGGTGTGCACCAATCAGTGTCCTAATTGTTTATGCTAGCTCGAAATGATCTAAGCTCCAAAAAAAAAAAATAATGTTGGAAAAATTATATGGTGAACTGGGGATTCACGTATTCCTAACTAATTTGGAAGAAACAATAATATATGGTTCACATGTAGATTGAGACCAATGAAATTGAAATGGTTCCATTCCATTTAGCACCAATATAAGTGGTCTG